GTCCAAGTTATCTTAAATTAGGAATGTTTTCTCTTTTGCCAAAGATTGTGATGAGTCATACTTAAGTAGGATTCATGCTTAGATTCCGTGTATAAATATTAGACCTCGGCTATTGTAAAAGAGACATCCAATCAATCAAATACAATTTACTTTTTTCGGCTCCGTGCCAACCCTTAGGAGTAGGAGTAGAGTAGATCTCGGTGAGTTCTTCAACAAGCAGGGCTACATCGGTCCGGCCTACATCTGGCTTGTCTGTAAGTGCCATCATGGCTTATACTTCTGTTTGTACAGCTGCATCGTTTAAGTTCGACCTCCACTGCGAACTCTAGTATAAGCTAGTTATCGACTATTGTCTAGTTCAAGTATGGCTGCATCGATCTGGTCAACCTCCACTGCTTGAATTAGATTAAGGTCAAGTTATCGGCTCTACCTAAGGGTGGCATCCTTCGGGTAGATTTATTAAGTTATCGATCTTGCTGGTGTCCTTATTGTTATTAGTTTGCAGCAATATCAATTCGCTCGGTCGAGATCGATTTAGATCGGCCTCATATCCTTTTAGTCTGTCGTTTGCTTTGTCACAACATGATGTTTCTTACTCTGAGCGACGGGTTATGTTTCATCGATTGTTTTTATTTCGATCTTGAACACTCCCGGGTAAAAATACAAATAACGATACCTAGAACACTCCCGGGTGAAGTGCTACAATGGTATATTATCTGTGCGCTTGCAAATCCTTTCATTTATATATTCTTTCTAGTCATAATAAAATACTAAAGTACTTCTTAGTGTCATTCTAGAAATGGCACTAGGTACTACCAACAAGTATTTCTGGCATCATTGCTAGGGATGACAACTTAGTAAAAATGATGTTAAGAAATGTCAACAAGCATTAGGTGGCTACGTGAACAAGTAACATGTTAATAAATACCAACAAGCTTCGCGATCCTTGCCTCATTCCAGGCGCTCTTCCTCGTACTCTGCCTGCTCCCCGAGGGTGCACGAAATTGGGTAGGCGTCGTCCTCCTCGTCTCCCGCTGCTGCTGCCCCGTCTTCCGAGAGCTGCAACATGTTGCACCCCTGCACCAGGTGAGAGCTCCCCTCGGACCTAGACTCAGAGTCCGTGTCACCTGGGGTCGACGGCAGGAGGTCATAGACGGACTCGGGGTCCCATTCCATCATCCCCACAAACTTCGAGAGGCTAGGCATCGTCAGATGGCAATTGCATCTTGCCATCTCTGGTTCGAAGAGCATGGTAGCATCCCTTAGTTCTGAGGGTAGTGCAATGTAGGGGTTCTAGAATTCTATTTTAGGTGGCATGAGGCCACCCCCTGAGAGCTAAGCGAAGGCATTGGCCAGCACATGGAACACGTGTCGACTTTGTTCTGGCTCAGGACTTGTCATGAGGTAGGCGTCGATTCCACACGCTAACGCGTTAGAGTCGGCGATCGTGGGGCCAACACGGACTGGCTTAAGGTTGGGCAACAGAGTGTGCGGTGGTGCTGCATCCCTGCCACGAAGATGTGGCCGACCCGTAGGGGTCAGCATGAGGTTTTGCGATGGGGTGTTCGACAGTGCCGCATCCCTATCGCGGAGATGTGGCCGACCCGCAGGGGTCGGCATGAGGTTTTGCGATGGAGTGTGCGGCAATGCCGCATCCTTGTTGCGAAGGTGTAGCTGACCCAGGTGGTTAGCTATAAAGTCTAGGTCCCCGAAGAGAAGAGCTTGGCTAGGGCGAAGACTAAGGGGTGCATTGGCTCATTGACATCGACGAACTCGAGGATTCCAAAGCGGATGCGGCTGCGGGGGCCGCGCCGAGAGTGAGTCCGATGTAGGTGCAGGGAGCCACTGCTTCCTTCTCAACAAGGAGAGTGCGTGACTATCCCCTACCTGACGCGCCAACTATCGGTGTTTTGTCACTCGACAAGTGAATTTATATGTATGTCGCACTGCTCTAGGAAGACGATGGTGGCATCCAAAAACACAAGGAATTATACTGGTTCAGGCCGGAGCCCTACGTCTAATCTCAGAGATAGTTCGAGTGCGTGTTCCTCGGTTGAATGCTCTAAAGTTCCTACAATGGGGTATGCAAGAAGAGTGAAAGAGGAAGGTGAGTGGTGATGGACTGCCCAAATGAAGTCTCGACAGTTCGTCCCCTTGGAAGGCAGCCCTGGCCACCCTTATATAGAGTCTAGGGCCAGGTTACATATAGAGAGATAGGATCTCCTGACTGAGTGGTCATGAGCCTGAGGGAGGGGAAACTAGTAAACTTGGCTTGCAAGGAAGGCCGTCTTGTCTTGGCGTCAGCGCAAGTCTTGGCGTGGTTGTCGTCATAGTCTTGTGCTCACATCGCAGCATGGTGTGGCGTGATGCTACAGTGCCAGTCGTGACGACACTGTTGGCACGGTGGTGGTTCGCCAGCTATCCTGTGCGATATGGGCTTCATGGTGGCCTTCGTCATCGTCTCCCGCTCTTCTGGTGGTGTCAGTATGGGAGTAGGTAGCTGCTCCCATGTCGTCGGTTGTCTTGCTGGTTGTGGAGCCGGTGTCCCCGATCCCGAGCCTCGGGGTCATGGCCCTCGTTGACTTGATTAGCCTTGAAAGTTAAGGACATAGTTGTGAGACCCATCCTGTAGTGGGTGTAGCCGTATGCCCGTCTCGTCAAACCGTATTTGGGCGGTGGGTCACCGTACCGGTCGTCACTGCCTGGCGGTGCTATCTTGTCTGCGCAGCGTGGTGCGGGGATAGTGTCTGTCCGGACTGATAAGATAGTTATCCCCTCAGTCCTAGTAGAGTGAGTGGGGCATGCCTGCCCTTGTAAGAGCAGGCGCACTTGGTGGAGCTCGACCTCTCCTCGTTTCTTTCGGGAGTCGGGACGGAAGAGAGGTCGCGCGATGCTGCGTGGCGCGTAGTTAAAGGAGAACGGGGAGGACGTGGTCGACCACTCGCCTTTATGTTTGGCCTAGGTTCGCGTGGCTTAGATGGGCCACGGTTGCTAGGTTTGTGTTAGTTTGGCCGTCATGGGCCGCTCGAGCGGCTTACCAATCAGTATCTTGAGATATCCGGAGTATCGTAACCTCAACAATTGGCGTTAATAGCACTTGAGGGTGGCATGCTAGAGAAGATTGATTATGCATCATTGAAGATTTTATTTCAAAAAATACTAAAAGAATATCGCTTTTCAAGTGATTGTTATACAACAAGTATAGTCCTTGGTCTATACTGTTGTACTTTGTAATATAAGTAATATATTGATATTTACCATTATTTTCTTGATTTGGCACTAGATATTCAACCTCCACTTATTGTTTTGAACTGGGCCTCGTATTTTGCTGGGACGCGCCTGAGTGCATTAGTTCTTACTAGTTTAAAGATCTTTTAAATAGTGATTTGATGTGTCACAAAAATAGATATAAAAATTTAAAACTATACATATAATAACCCAACAAAAAACGAAAAGAAAGAAAACTATACGCAAGTTAGCTAAAAGTCAAAGCCACACTTAGGCTCCGTTTAGCAGAGCTTCACTTGACTAGTGAAGTTATTTTTTTTTTCTTCAGCTCCACGAATAGCTCTACCAGTGGAGCTGAAGCGGTTTTGGTAAACCATTTAGCAAAATAGCTTTTCTGTGAGAGCATGTTTTTAGGGGCCTGTAGGAGGAGCCGGGAGAAGCCACTATTTTTTGCTTCTTCCCACCCCAAAGCTCTATGAGAGCACGTTTTTACAGGCTTCATCGGTGGAGCCGTTTTATTTTATCTCGTTTGACAGAAAACGGCTCCAAACAACTCCTAAAGCCGTTAGAGAAGCTCTGCCAAACGGGGCCTTAATCGTGCCTCCGTGCAACTTGCTCGTGACTCCACACAAGTCCTCTTCAAGAAATCAAAACTGCATTTAGGTTGTTAGAAGAGATGCACACTTTCCAATTGAAGAGACCACAAATAAAAAGTCAAAACTCATAATCTCTTCTTAAATCCACTCAACGACTTTTCTGCGCTCCATCGTCTTTTCAAAAGAAAAGAAACCTTCTGCCCTTCGATTCATGCTCGACTGTGACTTTTCTCTGTTTCACGTCCTAAACGTCACACGGAATTGAAAATATAACAAAGTTTATAATAGTTAAAACTCACAAGAAATCTCTTCTGACCCTACAGAGTTTTACATCCCTACTTACTACATTGTTTTCCCATTTTTAGTTCACCAGAATTAAAAAACAAACATTCACAAATAATCGTTTGCTTAGAAGTCCTGTCCTTATTTGTTCTTCCACAAGTATTTACAAGCCATCAGTGGCCTATCCGTCACTGAACCATGGGTCTATCTTACCAAAGACGGCCCACTGTCATTGATAGCAGTGGTAAAAGCGTCGGTACACGGAGGACTGAAGCGGGTCGTTCGTTGTGTACTCGTGTCTCGTGTGGTTGGAACCAACTAGCCCCGTGACCCATAGCGCCCCACTCGGTGCGTGGCCGCTGTTCCGTGGTCAACTCTCTTCTCCATCCCAGCCGTCCGTCGCCATCTAATGGCGAACACCAAAGCACCCTACATCGTCGGTAACCGTCGACTCCCTTGGCCCTTTCGGACTTCTATTAGGCTGCTGAAATTTGGCTGACGTTGATGTTGTTGCTGTTGCTGATTTATTAAAAGAAAAATAATATTTCTTCACTGAAAAAATATTGTTAATAAATTCAAATGAATAGAGCTTTAATATATGTGAATTAAGATAAATATATATATACATCCAAACGAGATCCCGCCCTTTGAATGCAATGCCCACAGCAACTGGGTCAGCACTTGCTCGAGACCGTGTGATCCAGACCTCGTTTGACCATTGCCAGTTTACCGAGGCCCTGCCACCTGCGATAGCCAGTCACCGCTTAGCACCGTTTTATAATCCCCCTCGGTTCTTTTCTCCCCCACTTGCTTTTCTCCTTCCCCTGTCCTCCTGTCCGGCGTGGTGGTGGCCAACACTCCGGCCAGCGTCGCTGGAGGGCAACTGCGGCGCTGATGATGACCCTCGACCTGATGGGTGGGTACGGGCGGGTGGACGAGCAGGTGGCCATCCAGGACGCCGCCGCGGCGGGACTGCGCGGGATGGAGCACCTCATCTTGCAGCTCTCCCAGGCCGGCACCGGGGAGCGGTCGTCGTCCTCACCGGCGGCAGAGGGGCCGCAGCGTCAGCAGCTGGAGCAGATACAGCAGCAGCAGCAGGTTGACTGCCGGGAGATCACGGACATGACGGTGTCCAAGTTCAAGAAGGTGATCTCCATCCTGAACCGCACGGGGCACGCGCGGTTCCGGCGCGGCCCCGTGGTGGCACAGTCGCAGGGCCCGGCCGCCCCCGAGTCCGCGCGGTCGAGGCCGGCGCCTGTGATACTGGACTTCACCAAGTCGGTGTCCGGCGGGTACAGCCAGGACTCCGGGTTCAGCTTGTCCGGCGCGAGCTCGTCGTTCCTGTCGTCGGTGACGACCGGGGACGCGAGCGTGTCGAACGGGCGCGGGGGAGGTTCGTCGTCCCTCGTGCTCCCACCGGCCATCTGCGGGAAGCCGCCGCTGTCGTCGTATTCCGGCGGCGCGGCGCAGAAGCGCAAGTGCCACGACCACGCGCACTCGGAGAACGTCGCCGGCGGCAAGTACGGGGCCAACGGCGGGCGCTGCCACTGCTCGAAGCGCAGGTCTGTATCTCTTCTCATGTGGATCGCTGCTACTTTTACCTGTGGTGGCTTGTTTCTCTGTTGAGTTGAAAGAATCGAGCTCCTCCAACCTGATTGGATTATGGAATGGATGTGGTGGTGCATGTGCAGGAAGCACCGCTTGAAGTGCACGATCCGCGTGCCGGCGATCAGCCCCAAGGTGGCGGACATCGCCGCCGACGAGTACTCGTGGCGCAAGTACGGGCAGAAGCCAATCAAGGGGTCGCCCTATCCACGGTGAGTTGACGATGCTACTGCTAATTCCTGCGCGAATCCAGTCCGATTGCAGCCGCTAATCCAGTTGTTGTGGGCATTGCATTTGCATTTGCAGCGGCTACTACAAGTGCAGCACGGTGCGCGGCTGCCTCGCCCGGAAGCATGTGGAGCGCGACGCCGCCGACCCGTCGATGCTCATCGTCACCTACGAGGGCGAGCACCATCACAGCCCCGCTGCCCAGGATCCTCAGCCGCCGCTCGCCCCGCTGCCGGAGCTGCCCAACCATTAATTTGGTTTCCTGCTCTGTCCTGTCAATTACTAGTAGCTGTAGTCATCTGAGCTGTTTTCGTTTGACTTAAGTCAGCCAAGCGAACAGAGCCATCATCGTAAGCTTAGCGCGTGTTTAGTTTCAGGAACGTGAAATTTAGAGCCACAGTAGTATGTTTGTTTTTATTTGATAATTAGTGTTCAAATATGGACTAATTAGTTTTGTAATTTTTCACCAAACTGTGTAATTAGTTTTTTCTTCGTCTACGTTTAATGCTCTATGTATAGACCGCAAATATTCGATGTGGCAGGTACTATAGCAACTTTTTTGAATTTGGGGTCCAATTAAACACGCGCTTATATAAGTTCATTTTAGCAGCTCCGTTTTCCGATCGTTCGCGTTAGCAGCTTGTGAAAAGGATTAGGAAAGTGTTAGCATCAGACTTGGAGAAGGAAAAAAAAAGGTAATGCTCGTATTATTACTATTATTTTTAGCAAACAAAAGCATCCGAAGGAAAGTTGGTGTCGTTGGTCGGAATTTTGCCCGGGCCTAGGCGATTCCAGAGCCGGATTTAATATTTGAATTCTCAATTCCGCCGGATTCGGAGTCCGCCCGGTGCGGCGGGCAGGGAGAGGAGTCAAAAGCCGGTGGGGCCCAGCGGTTGAACAACGGACTGCTGCTACTCCTTTTGGCTTTGGTCCCGACTCCCGACGGGGAGTGCCGAGTGCGAGTGGGGACACACAGACGGAGGACGTGGACGGGTGCTGCCGCCGCTGACTCGTGTCAGCCTAGGCGCCGTTGCCATTGCCCATTTGCGCGGTGGGTGTGCGGCGGGGCTACGTCCACACGGCGGTGGCGGTGGGTGTCGCGTCCGGGATCAAACTGCTAATCGCGTCTTGGCTGGCGTGGTTGAATGGCGAGGGGCCGGCCTGCCTTGTTGCTTGATCGGATGGACTAGATTGGCTCTTATTCCCTCCGGTCCAGCAAAAGAATATTAGTTCTAATTAATACTGTTCAACAACTATTCGAATATAAAAATATTAATATTTATAATTATAATATTAAATAACTATCATAAGATTTATCATGAGATGTATTTTTAGTAAATCTATTTCATTAGTGTCATGAACATTAATATTTTTATTTATTATTTAGTTAAATTTTAGATACTTCAACAGAAAAAGTATCTAGAATTAAACTTCTTTCGTGATCGAAGTACTCCCTTTGTCCCTAAAAGAATGAATTCCTAGTAACTTTAGGACAGATTAGCAAACAAGATAGAAGATCATGCTACCCCTCGTTAAACTATTGAACCTTAATAACTCTCCAGTTACCGAGAATTTTAATTGAATATTGTCGTTTGGAGTATTCAATAGCTACGCGGAAAGGACAATTAAAAGCACCATGTGTTAAATATGACCCAAACTACAAGAGAAATTAATATGGATCGGTGAACTGTCTGCCTCTAGAAATTGATTCTTTTGGAGACAAATTTTAGGGCTAAAAATTGATTCTTTCATGGACCAGAGAAAGTAATATAGAGGTATCTTGACTTATAAATACGGGTGGATCTAGGACCTCGGGCTGGGTGGGCTATGACTCCAACCCATATAGTGCTTATATGTGTTTTTTTTCAATTAGTGCTTATATGTGTTTTGAGTAGTCAGGTAACGAGATCTACGAGGCATTTTGATTGGCAACTCGATCATACAAAGGTCCTATATCAATCTGTTAAATATTTAGTTATCTTTTGTGCTCAAGTGTTTCGTGTATGATATGATATATGGTCAGCTCGGACCTTACTTAATTTAGGAGTCACCACTGCTTATAGCAAAATATTTAGTTTTGTTATTGGACTTGCTCTTAGGCACCAGGGCACCATGGGTCTGCGGTCGCGTCGTTTTTCTGCTCTTTGTGCCGCGGTCGCGTATTTTTCTGCTCTTCGTTGGGCCATGCAGATAAACTACTTTTTCGATGAAAAAGAGTGCTTATAGAGATGGATAGACTACACTAGTGTGTGTGTTTTCCGTTTATCTAGAAGACTACTAGTACACACAATTCCATCTCAAAATATAAGTGAACTATTCAGATCCAGATCCAACATCTGAGCTATCTGCACGTGCAGTAATCTCTTCGCTACAACATGTATTATATTATGGTAGCGGGGAGAAAAACGGTTCTGACTCCTCAAAAATAAACCAAAAAGAGGAGGAAGTAGAGAAACACCATATTTGGGGCTTCGTCTGGCTCCGCCTGATGCTCTAGCTCTAGCTCCCAATATAGCAACACTGTTTTTTTATTATAGTTGGAAGAAAAACGGCTCTAGTTCCTCCGAAAAGAAATCAAAGAGAAGAGTCGAAGAAGCACTACATTTGAAGATTCTCTCGGCTCCGCCTCTCTATTGCTACAGAGGAGGAGCCAGAGCTAGAATAAGCCCCTCTAAAAGGGCTCTCTCTCAACTATCCTACTATACATTATCCTACTGTACATGTGAGTATGTCCTCGCCTGAGTCCGTCACTAGGCTATCACGCAAATGAAATGAAATAAAATAATTCTTTAAGTAGTGTGACAAGAATATGCGTCATGTGCTACATGTAACGTGTTTGACTAGCCCGGGTCCATGGTTTTCAACTCCCAAACTTCGCATGTGACGCTGGCCCTCGTGCCCACAATGATCGCTCGAGGGGCACTTGGCATACCGACGCTTTCCACTTGCTTTCTTCTATTTTTTTTGGTAAAATAAAATTTTCAACCTTCAACTGTATTGAAGTTCGATTTTCAACCTTTAATTATGAAATCGGGTAACAGACACCCTCCAACTATCAAAACAGGACAAATTTAGTGTGGGGTCCCTCCTAGCCTCTCGCCCTCGCTGAGGGACACGGGGGAGAGGCCGAATGTCGGTGTAGAAAGTGATCAACACGTAAATATGTGTAGTTTTGCCGTATGTTGTGATTGGAGGTGGCCTAGCAATCAATGACATAACGTTTATACTGGTTCAGGCAACGTGCCCTACGTCCAGTTTGAGTCGGTCGGTGACTTTATTCCTGAGCCCAGGTGCTCGAAGTTTGCAGTGGGATTACAAACGAGAAGGAGAAAGATGGAGTGTACAAGAGGTCCGATCGGAAGGGCCGAGAGCGACAGGAGCTCCGCTATTAGCTAAGTATTCAAGCGTGTGCTTGGGGTTCGAACCTAGCGGTTCTGTGGTCGTAAGCTAGTGAACTTGGTTGATCTAATGAATCCGGGATGACTTGTATGATCTTGAATCCACCGAAGAGAACTGTCTTACGTTGGAGGGGGTACATCCCCTTTTATAGATGAAGGGGGTGGCCTTACAAGTGAGAGGGAGAGAGTACGTTTGTTTCTAAGCCTTATAGCCCACGCCGGCGGGTACAAGACAATTGTAGGCGACCACAATACTGTTGATGTCACTGTAGATTGTCAGGTGCATGTCGGAGGTTGCGTCGCCTTCTTCAGGTATGGTAGATGTCGATACCTGCATATACTGTTGGTGCACAGAGGCATGTGAGGGGTTTCACCATGTTCGCTCGGTACAGTAAATGCCAGCGTCCATAACACTGTTGATGCCCGTGTGGGGCCTTACTGTATAGGAGTTAATGGCGCCCACAATACTGTAGGGGAAAATGTCGGCGCCTACAACACTGCTTGTGTCAGGGCGGTTGCAGAGTACTGTTCCTGTAGGTGTACAGGGTATGGTCCCGGTATCATGGTTTGACTTGTACACCCTGTCTTGCTTTCTCCATTCGTTCCCTTGTCCTTTCCGAGCGGGCGTCCTCGGTCGGTTGGTTTCAATCGGCTCTGATTGTGCCAGTCGGAGAAGAATAGTGAGCAGGTGCTTGGCGTATTGTCGTAGAACCGACCAATTTATAAGAGTACAAGTACAATGGCGTCCTGCAAGCGGTCGCATTGTCATACTTGAACACATATAAACCCGGTAGTCCGTCGAGTACCACGACGGGTCTCGATAAACGATTTACAACAACCAAGATCGTACATGATTCAACATACATGCCACATATTACATAAAGTTCACAGATACATTTTCATCATCAGAGTATGAAACCAATTATTACAAATCGAGTTTGATAGATAAAAGCGGAAGTAAATTAAGTTTGAAAGTAAAGTTTCCAACATAGTTTAGTACAGTGTCAAAATACGATCACGGTCCACAAAAGCATGTAGAAGGATTAATAAGAAGTCTGCACAAGGCTTACTCCTCATCCACAGCGAGATAGAAGCAACTCTTGCAATAACCATGATACACAGTGCCATCTGCAACAATGGGAAATAAAACCCTGAGTATGAGAAGGTACTCAGCTAGACTTACCCGTCATAAAAAAGAAATAAAATGACTCCAAGGATTATGCAAGGCTGTATAAGTGGGGATAGCTTGACAACATTTTACATAAAAGCGATTAACTTAGTTATACAATTATGGTTCCAATATCAGGTTAATTATAACTATCCATCTCTAGATTAGCAACTATCCTGTGCTAACCATGTGGTATATCCATTTAAAAGTATACAATAGTAACCATAGCAGGTATTGCAATTCCATATTCATCCGAACCATCATGTTCCATAACACAGTTACTACGATGTTGGGACTAGCCAAGTTTCTCACTATCTGGGAGAGACGGCGATTCGAATCGATTTCAACCAGCTGGAAATTTATTCCTAACACAAACCCAGGCATACCGCGCGAAGGCAGCCTTAGGTCACCTTTGGTACAACTCAGGTACACATTTTGCGGGTCCGTACCGCGCCGCACAATCTGGGACACCAAATGCCAGGACGTTCAGGCCTGGCCTGCCCTTGGTCTCAGTCTGATCACCCCCTGCAAGAGCGCACAACAGAACGGGTCTCGACCTGAGTTGAGCTACTCGGCCGCGGGTCGGAACGAGTTATCCGGCCAGCTAAGTGATAGGAATGCGTTCAATCTTGTCAGAAGCACCAACAACGGTACGGTCCTTAATCGGCTCAGACAGAATCACATGAG